TGCATCTTTATTTATTTTTGACTGTAGAACTTTGCTAACCTTTCTTTAATTATCTTAGGGTTGACCTAAGGTTTAATGTGTTTGACACATTGACTTGACACGACTCAAGGTATAAACTTGACTCTCTGTGATTGACTTGAGGTTGACTCGACTCGAAGTGAAATGACAAGTGTGACTCATGACCCGTGTGTGCATTGCATTATGATTGTGCGACTCGAAAATGCAAAAAAGCAAAAATTTTCTGTCATTTTTGTGGAGGGTACCGACTTTCTTTCGAAAAAGAAAGACGCGAAAAAGAATCGAAGGTTTTGAAGGTTCATGTTGAATGAGCTTAGTCAAATGTTGTTTCTCACAGTACAAGGATTGTAACATCTTATACTATCCTAGTTGACTCGATAATGAAAGTATTTAGGTAACTTAGGCACGGAGGCTAAGCACTTCATACTTCGTGATGCAATGACAATTATGATTGGCGAGTGATGTGACAAGGCATGCTTCAGCGTTATGTTAAGATTTCATGACAAAGGATTCCTAAGGGAAGTATATTTGGTCATGTATTTGTGCAGTGTGTGAAAGTGACACTAAATCTAGGCTGCAAGAGATAAGTGTGTGGAAAAAGATTATTTCAAGAAGAGTCAAATGATGGTGAGTCTTTAGGCTAGGTAAGCTAATGATGTAGGGATCAAGCCCCCAAGTCTAGCTCTCTAAGTGAATAGGGATGAGCATAGGAGATCCCTTGATATGATCATGGTGTGTGAATATGAATGCATGTTTATTACGGCCGCACCTCGATGTGAGGTTTCCTACGTATCCAATAGGAATCAAGCCGAACGTAGCTCTAGCCGAACCTCGCACAATTATGTATACCTCAAAAAGGTCTTTATAATGGTTGTAGCGTTGTTAGGCTAAAGGTTATAGAAGAAAGGGATAAAGGCTCAAGATCCTAGATAAGCCCCCAAGGTGTGCAACCTTGCTTTTGAATCTTTATTTTTATACTTGAGGTTTTCTACTCTTTTTTAGCTCTTTCTTTTGCTTTAGTATTTATCTCATTTTTATAAGTGTGGGAAGGAAGATAGAGCAAAAGAGTCGCCAACAAGTTTTTAGAGCTAAAGGGAAGGAAGATAGAGCAAAAGAGTCGCCAACAAGTTTTTTAGGAACTTGTAAACCGTTCTCGAGGTGAAAGTTACACCCCTTAACGATCCAAGAGATCGTTAACTCCATAAGGTCTTGAACCAAATAGGGTTCGGGGATGAAGGTACAAATCCAACCTAAAAGAGATTGAACCTGCCCTAATAATAGGCCTCTACTTTATTTAGATCGTATTCATGTGCGCTATCTGATTAACATACAATCAATAGGATTAACCTTAAACCTGTTTAACTATGTTGGTTGAATATAATGCACAAACAAACTATTATTGGCGATCTCTTGAAATTATAATCATATTAACCCTAAACAAGATTATTAATTATCTTATTAAGTGTGATTACAAGTACCAATTCCCTTTTAACATGCATAAAAGGCGTGATCAAGCAATAAATAATATATATAATATCAAGCAACATAATAATAATCATCATAATAACAATTATATTAATAATAATAATGTTAAAGCATAATAATAGCAAGATCCTAGGCATGATACTAACAAAATTAATAACAAACCCTAGCATGTCACTAAGCAATAAAAATCAAAGCTTTGACCCTAACATGATACTAACAACCATAAATATTAGGAAGAAAATATAAGGCATCATAACGATCATATTTAGTATTAAAGTTACCCTAGACATGATACTAGGAATATCGTAATAGCAACCTAAACATGAACTCTATATCATAACATCAATAAAAACCATTAAATTACTTACTTGGATGCCTCGTACCTCTTTCTAATAACAAAATACACACGTTAGTAACTTCAAGGAAAATAATAATCAAAACAATTAAATTAAATAATTGAAAGAGAGGATTGGGACGTTTATACTGGTGAATGAAAACGGAGTTTATACGACGTTATTTATAGAGAAAATCAGCCAAAAAGATAAAATATCAAAACAGAGTTCTGGCGCAGATAAAATCGAACCAGCGCCAACACTGGCTATTGGCGCCAAACGCCAACATTAGCGCCAGGCGCCAAGCGTAGCGCCAGGCGCTACAGTTGGCGTTTGGCGCTGATCTGGAAATTCACGCGTTTCTTAAAATCAGATAAAAATGTCGTACAGGAGGATAAAATCGTATTTTTCCTCAAAAATACTCTTTGATTTTAATTAAAACTTCTGAAAAGTCAACAAAAATCAATTTATCAATGCTAATTGAATTAGGAATGAAAAGAACCTTCTAGAAGAATCTATAAGACTAAAACCATTCCTAATGATAAATCTATATTAGGCCCTCCTCTAGATCATTGGGTCGCGTATAAGGCTCAAACCGGGCCCAATTCAGTAAATTGGCCATAACTTCTTAATATTCATCGGAATTGGTCTTATAATATATCGTTGGAAAGCTCTTGTCAAGCCCCATCCAACTACACTACTATTAGACTTATATCATGGACCAACCAAACTGGATTGGCTGTTTTCTTAAAAATAAGTTTTCAAAAACAGAGAGAAGAGAAAAGAAATTAAAACTATCCGCAACACTAAACTTTCCACACTTTCACTTCATTCAATTATGATTCGACGTGAAAGCTACTCATCACTGGGTTTGGTTTTGGGGAGACACAAATGGGTGTCTACAACTATTAATATATTTATTAACATCAAATAATAATATATTAATGTGTAATAATTACGCCAAATATATAAAGATAACAATCACAAATACTACTAATAATTTATGTTAATATATAAAAAACTTAGCTTATAATTAATAATTAAAGTTCATAACTAAACTTCACAAATAAGCTCACTAATTTGGTACGGGGGCACCCACTCCGACAATTCTACAAGCCATCAAATAACATGAAAAAGCCCACATGTTGCCAAATTCATTAATTTTTTTGCTTATTAACGGGCCTTCCCTTTGAATCTTGCAAACCTTAGAAAAAAAAACAAATATTATATTCAAATTACTGAAAATTTCAAAAAAAATGTTAAATAATTCATGTCACAGGCTTAGTTTGTTTCTTTTAGAAACTTGTATGTTATTGAAAAATGTAGAAAGCTAAAGTAAGACCTTTATTTCACATAAATGACCAAGTAGGACAAGTTAAAGTACAAGTAAAAACAATAAATAGGTTTTTTTGGGCGAAATTGGCTTCAACCTTTCTCCTTTTTTTTTTTATTTTTTATTTTTATTTATCTAGTGTACAAATGAAGGAACAAACACTTGGTTAGATCATATACTAGTATATTTGTGAATTTATAGCTAAACATGACATAGATATGTTAAGTAGATAAGTTTTAGAACAAGAGAGAGCCATAAAGGCCAACAATGTCTTGTTCCTTTCCCGTTTTTGTATCAAATAGTTAAATGGATGAATGAACACCTTTATCATGTCTAACAACATAATATTTGTGTTCTAGAGACCTTGTATTATGACTTAAAAGTCCTTAATTGACAATCTTTAGGACAATCTAGAACAAAAAAGCACCAAAACAAACCTAAAATGGCTTCTCTCTCCCCCTTTATGTGTTCTTTAGTGAACTAAATGGAGTAATAGTGACATCACTGTCATTACTTTTTGATTAGAAGACTTTATTTACATAAATGAGAAAATATGACAAGTTTAAGAACAAGTTAGAACAATAAATTGGGTATTTGGGTGAAATCGGCTTCAACATTCCCGTTGTTTTATCTAACATACAAATGAAGGAACAAACACTTGATTTACATCATATATGTAATACTCTGTATTTTTATTATATTTTTATGCATATAAATAAATTATTTATTTATTTTATTTATTAAAATGATTATTTCATTTTAAAAAGAATTTATTTATTTAAATAAATTATAAGTGTGTGTAAATAAAATGGACCATGAATTGAGGCAACAAAAGTATGTTTGATTGGGTCAATCCTATTTAAAAGGGTGGATCAACTTATTGGGAATTTAAGGGCCCAATAAGTTGCCCCAAAGGGAGAATTTGAGAGGGAGTAGGAATTAATAATGGCAAAGCTGTAAATATGAGTTTATTTCTTAAAAGGAAAGCATAAATACTTTAAAACTTCAAGGTTTTTCCACTCAAGTTCTTATTTGTCAGATTTCTCTCTCTTTTTTTTCTCTCTCTCGTTTTCCCTTATTTTTCCTTCTCTTTTTTCGTTTTTATTTTCCTCTTCCACGCCAGTATCTCCTCTCTCTTTCTTCCTCCTCACGCATGGCCACCACCACCGGCAGCCCACTGGCGGCAGCAGCAGCGTCGGTAGCCTAACCAGTCGGCGCCTCCTCCTTTCTCTCATCTCTTTTTCGGTTTGTTGTGTGTTTAAAAAAACACTACAAGAAAAAGGGGAATTAGCGACGGATTTGCAACTACATTGGATTTGCGACGAATTTGCAACTACATTGGTTAGTTGCCAAAGGCCTCATCGCAAATCCATTTTTGTGACTAATTTTTGAATAGTCTCAAATTTAACGATGAATTTGCAACGACTTTACAACTTTTATTTAGCGACTAACTTTCAAATTTTAGCAGCTAAATCATTGTTTGTTGTAAAATATTTGTGACGGATTAGCGACTACAGAGACCAATGCTTTAAGATTACTTTTGCGACAAATTAACGACTATAAGACCAAAATTTTACGGCTACAGTTTAAACAGTCGCAAATTTAGCAACGAATTCGCAACTGCCATTTAGGGACTAACTTTCAAATTTTTGCAACAAAATCATTGTCCACCATAAAATATTTACGACGGATTAGCGACTACAGAGATCAATCCTTTAAGATTACTATTACGACGAATAGTCACAAAAAGTGGTTATTTGCTCCAGTTTTTAGTGAGCACCGGAACAAAAAGTGGTCAAATATTTTTTTTTTTTAAAAAATTTCTTTATTTATGATTAATTAATATTATCTCAATTATACATAGATAAAAGTTCAAAATCTAATACAATATGTCTTTACATTACAAAAAACAGACTAGAAAATGTTTATCATAATATAAACTATTCTCTTGTAACTTAGTGTAGCACATGGAAATGGCAGCGATGCTTTAATGGCAGTGCAGCAGTAGTAGCAAACTAGCAATAGCGTGGTAACAGCAGCAACAAGTATGGTAGTAGCAGCAGGAGTAATCTCTTATATCTTGTTTAAAATTTGCTTTATTTACTCAGCTAAGGAAGAGCGCATACCAAATCTGCACCCCTGTCATGCCAAAAAGATAACATTTTAGACTTAATCCTACTCTAGAAAAACACCATGATATAATTTCCACACAAACTAAATTGCAATGCTTTTAATTTTAGCAATAAACCAACATGCCACACCATTTTACACAGTAAGTTATCTTGAAGCTACTTGCCAAAAGAAAGTATCCATCATATCATAGATCTTTACAAAGCAAAATTTTTTGCTAGCTAAACAGTAAAATTAACATGTAATTTCAAAAAACTAAGGGATAGTTTATGATATTCACATGAAGCTATTAATAGTTAGCATGCTACATGGCTGCATTAATTTTTACTGATTGGGAAAATGGGGTGAAGGAAACAAAGGTTAGAGAAAAAATCTTTATGATCCAACTCAATCGAATAAAATCAACGGTGCCATAATCAATTTTATGAATTAAAAATTATGTAGTTAGGAAAATTGTCAGGGTTCGGTCCACTGGTGACCGATAAGCTAGCCCTTGCTTCACTGAAATACATAGCAATAGCAGCGAAGCAACACAAATTACAAAGAAAATAAATATGGTAACAACTAGCTCTTGTCTGACAACGTCAATAAAGATACCGCCTCAAAAGTAATTCAGCAGCAAACTTACCCTCATAGTTGGTGTGATGACTCTATCACATCTTTTATATTCCTGAAAGTATATCTGAGGAAATATTAAGCTCACGCATCAGTATTTTGAGCTTTGGTCACTAGCAGATAATCTAATAAAGCTACAAGAGAATTGAGCAATACATGGAATTAGGTACACAAAAACAACTATCAAATTTAGTTTCTAAGGATACAATAGTATTCCATTACCCCGCAGCAAAAAAGTGTTCAAACATCAAACTCATATCAATTTCAAAGCATAGACAATAGATGATTTCAATAAAGAGAAAGTTATATAATAAAATTATGAACATCACAGGCTCACAGCTTTAATACAAGGCTAAATAGCTAACTTCTGCAAATTAGAGTCCTAAGACAAACCTTTACCCACTTGTAAGATATAACACCCAATATTCCATTGCTTAATATAACATTGCAGCAAACATAACCTAGGAACAAATAATCAAGTACACACACTCACACTGAAATAGATAGAAACTAAAGAGAGGGAGAACATCATTTAGTTCACAATAGAATAGCTCAATTAACAAAGCAGTAGCAGAATTATAATAACTTTTTTGTAGATTGGAAACGTTATCCTATTCGTTAACATACTTGCCAACATAATAATTCGAGTCAAAATAATTCACACAACAATCATGTATAGGAGGGCCTAATGTGTAGCAGTGTATAGATATTATAGAAGATGAGCCTTACTATATCTGATTTTGCCTCCACTTTTCTCCACAATATGGAGATCAGCCAATAAGAAAGCCAACTAAATAATTACGGAGAAATACACAACGTCATTTCAAAATTAGAAGGAAAAGAAATCCACTTTACTTGTCATGATGGCAAGATATACAAAAGAGTTGACAACATAGGCAGTTTTAAACCGCATCCATAATGCACACCAGGTGACCAGGATTATCAACAATAGAATCAAATGGAATTTCAACTCTCTCCACAATGCAACGAATTTCGCCATCTTCCATCACTGCCATTTTACAAGGGGGTCATCATGAACTGAGTGCTCTGCCTTGACCATCGTCTTGGCTCAGACCCAATGATCACATCAGGGTGCCCTTTTTTGGAAGCTTAGGCTCAAACCCAGCCAAGCTAAGCAGAGAGATGACACTAACAAGGGTAAGCATTGTCTTGGCTTTCCCCTCTTTCTTATTCTTATTAGGGTTTTGAATTTGACCTAGGTAAGATTAATTTGGCGAAAATGACAATCAAATAAATGTAACTCGAATAATTTTAGTGTAATTTGATTGAAATTACTACAATTAGATTGAATTAATTGCGCTAAAATACGATTGAATTATTTCCCTAAATTTAGTGCTTTGAAGTTTCTTTTAATCTATCTAAAATTCGCATCAAATTACAGTAATTCGATACATACTATGATTATTGAATAATTTAAATGAATATATACATCAATTAGATTGACAAATTCAAATCAAATTACATTAGGAGAAGGCAAATTCAAAAGCCTACCTTGATAGTACAGTCGTGGCGCAGCGATGCTTCGGTGTGGCCGTGCAGAGGGGCGGTGTTTCAACGACAAGGCCGTACAGAGGAATGGCAAACTGGCGGTGGAGTGGTGAAGCAATGAGCGTTGCAAACTCCATTAGTAGAACAACTGACGTTTTTTTTCAGAAAATTATTAAAAGAGGTAAAATATGAAAAGTAGCATGGGTTTGAATGTTTGATTACTTGATACTTTGATTCGATCTCTTAGGGTGATACTTTTTTTTTTTTTGGTGACAGAATCTTAAGGTCTGAACTAAGCTAAACTCAATTGTTTATGAGAAAAGTAAATTAGGAAATGAAGTTGAGCTAAGCTGAACTGAACTGAACTAAAATTAAGCTAAACCGTTTTGATATATTTCTATTTCTTATTCTAGTTATTTTAATGGTGCAAGTAGAGTCTACCATAGTCGTGATTGTCATAGTCAACCAAGGCGTTAGGGCTTCTAGGTAAAACTTTAAATTGGAAGGGCAATCCACTCGGTGAACTTACCTTACCCTAAACCAACACAAGTGGATAAAGTAAATCAGTGTATGAGGGTGCTCAAGGGAAATCATGTCGAAGTAAGTCAACAAAATGACTCCGTAGCGGTGATAAATGACCCGGTAATTTTAGCATTTAAATAAAATTATGGATTTTTAATATTTTCAAAATTTACGAGTTTGGGCAAGCATTAATTTGTAGCCAAACCTTGGCCTTACCTAACCTTACAAGTTAATATTTTTTTAGCCTTTGTCTTAACCTGACCTATGATCACCTCTATCACAAACAAATGAGAAGTAAATGACTCTACTGGACTAATAACACTTTTACAGTTGGATACAAAACCTTAACTTCATCGTATTTAAGAAATTAATCAAATTAACTCTTTTAAAACACCAAACTTGTCAATAGAATATAGAATAAGCTTAAATAACAATTACTTTTTGAAAAAGATGAACATCAAAGTAATACTAAACAACTGAATATTCCGCTCTCTTCCAGTCCTAATTATTGATTTTGCGGTTGAATATTAGGGTAGTTACTAATATCAGTCACAAATTAGCGACCGCACATCAACTATTGCAATATCAGTTGCAAAATTTGCGACTACCAAACTTTTTTAGTTGCAACAATAATTTTTTTTTACAATTGACTATTAAGTTAGTCGCATATATAAGTTGCAAATTAGCGACTAAATAGCAACTACAACAAAAAATCAGTTGCAAAATTTGCGACTAACAGTCTTTTTCTGTCGCAATAATGTTTTTTTGCGACTGACTATTAAGGTATTTGCATATATTAGTCGCAAGTTAGCGACCGCATAGCAACCACTGCAAAATCTGTCGTAAAATTTGCGACTACCAGTCTTTTTCAGTCGCAAACATATTTTTTGCGACAGTTTATTACGGTAGTCGCAAATATCAGTTGCTAATTCTCCTTTTTCTTGTAGTGAAAACTTCTTTAATCCTAAAAAAATTTATTCTATTAATTTATTATTCTAATTAAAGGCATGATTTTTATTATGTTTTGGTATTGATTTTGGGATTTTGATGTTGTTAATTTATTGTTATAAATTTCAGATTTTTATTTAATCTAAAACCTCAAATTATAAACCCTAAAAATTAGGGATTTTGTATAATTGGTTAGTGATTGAAGTTAGGTTGTTGTTATTGATTAATTCTTGGCCTAATCATGTTTTTGATGAGTTCAAAGCCTTCAATTTAATGCTGAAATTTATTTACACACACTACTTTTCAACTGTTGAGTTAGGGTTTGATTACCAATAAAAGGGAAAAAGGTTTTAATGATTTAAATATGATTTCCTAGTGATGTTTTATACTATATAAGTATGCTATAAATTTGTGAGAATAGTGGATTAATTATGGTTATGTATTTTTAATTGTAGAAGTTTCAGGCTAGGTGATTTCTAGCAAGAGTGGCCAAGTTTAGGCATTATTCAAGATACGTATGTGCACAAGAATATTTGTGTATGCGTAGTGCTAGGATTGTGAATTGAGATTGATGTGTTGAATTAGTAGCATGATTGGCTTATTATATGCTTAGAATTAATGTTGTTTGAACAGGAATTATTATGCAAGCATGTGAGTATGATATTTGAAGCATGATACAAGTTGAATATATGTGAATCATGGAAGTATGTTTTATTTTTGAGTATCAAGGAAGCATGAAATTAATAATCAAGGCTTATGCATGTTTAAAAGAGCTATAACTATAATTATTGAGCATGATTCATGAATTTTATTCTCACTCATTTATTATTGGTGTTGAGTCAAGAAGTTAGTTTATTTATTTTCTCACTCAAGTAAGTTAAGATCGAGTCAAGGAAGTTTATTAGTGCATTCTATGCACCATGGTTGTAATCGTGCAATTTTGTGCATAAAACTAGGCAAGGAACATTAATTAAACTAAATAGTATGTGCTCACTAAGTAATTCAAGAATTAATTGGAAAAATGTGTTGATTATTGTTGTGATTATTCTTGATTAATTGGTTGGAGTCTTCACATGTTAAATTGGTAAATCACGTAAAGTGTAAGAGGATGCACACCAAAACTCTTGGAACGTATATACCTTGAGTATGAACATATGAGGGGAGTTATGTGACTTTATATTTGAGCATAACTTATACAGAGGTACAGGACACTGTACTTTCTTTTATTATTATTTATGTGTTGGAATTCCATCACTATAGGGAATAATTTCAAGCTTTTAAAATCCCACTAGCTTGAACCCCACTATGATCATACACTAAAGTACAGTGGCGTCCAAAAGGGAAGAAGATAGAGCAAAAGAGTCTCCAGAAAGTTTTAAGGAACTTGTAAACCGTTCATAGGATGAAGGTTACACCCCTTAACGATCCAAGAGATCATCAACTCCATAAGGTCTAGAAACAAATAAGGGTTCGGGGATGAAGGTACAAATCCAACCTAAAAGAAATTGAACCTGCCCTAATAATACGCCTCTACTTTATTCTGATTGTATTCATGTGCGCTTTAACATGCAATCCATAGGATTAACCCTAAACCTGTTTATCTATGTTGGTTTAATATTAATGCACAAATAAATCTATTATTGGCGATCACTTGAATTATAATCACATTAAACCTAAACAAGATTATTAATTATCTTATTAAGCGTGATTACAAGTACCAAATTCCCTTTAAACATGCATAAAGGCGTGATCAAGCAATAAAGAATAAATATAATCAAGCAACAACAATAAAATTATAATCATCATCAAGATAATAATAATAATACTCATAATCATTATAACAATTATAATCATAATCATGTTCATGTTAATATTAAAGCATAATAATAGCAAGATCCTAGGCATGATACTAACAAGATTAATAACAAACCCTAGCATGTCACTAAGCATTAAAAATCAAATCTTTAACCCTAACATGATACTAACAATCATAAATATTAGGAAGAACATAGGAAGCATCACAGGAATCATATTTAATATTAAAATTACCCTAGACATGATACTAGGAATATCATAATAACAATATAAACATGATTTCTACATCATAATATCAATTAAATCAATTAAAGTACTTACTTTGATGTCTCGTACCTCTTTCTAATAACAAAATACACACGTTAGTAACTTCAAGGAAAATAATAATCAAAACAATTAAATTAAATAATTGAAAGAGAGATTTGGGACCAAACCCTCATAAATTAAAACCTTTCACGTCTAGGGCGAAGGCAACTTCGAATATGGCTAGGTGTTTCTGGATCTTGTGAATGCGGAATTTTGTATGAAAAAGCAAAGTTAGAAAGAAAGATGAATGTTTTAAAGAATGCTAATTAAAACTTGTGAATGAAGAGAATTGGTGAATGATAGATGTAGATGATGAATCAAAACGGAATTTTTGATACGATATTTATAGAGAAAATAAGCCAAAAAGGATAATTTAACAAAACAGAGTCTGACGCTCAGGAAACAGAACTGGCGCCAACCCTGGCTAGCTGGCGCCAGGCACCAACCCTGGCTAGCTGGCGCCAGGCACCAACGGCAAGCGCCAGGCGCCAATGGCTAGCGTCTGGCGCCAAGCCTGGTTCCAGGCGCCAAGGCCTGGGGTCAGACGCCAGTCTTGATTTTAACGCGTTTTCGAAAATCCGATAAGTTTACCGTACTGGAGGATAAAATAATATAATTTCTTCGAAAATGCTATTTGGTTTTGATTAAAACTCTGAAAAGTGAACAAAGTCAACTTATCAATGCTAATTGAATTAGGAATGAAAAGAACCTTCTAGAAGAATCTAGAAGACTAAAACCATTCCTAATTGTATTAGGAATGATAAATCATATTAGGCCCTCCCCAAGATCATTGGGCCGTACATAAAGCTCAAACCGGGCCCAGTTTGGTAAATTGGCCATAACTTCCTCAATATTCATCGGAATTAGGCTTATAATATATCGTTGGAAAGGTCTTTGCAAGCCCCATCCAACTACATCACTATTGGACCCATATCATGGATCAACCAAACTGGATTGGATGTTTTCTTAAAATAAAGTTTTCAAAAACAGAGAGAAGAGAAAAGAAATAAAAACTTTCCGCAACAGTAGACCTTTCCACACTTTCGTTTCATTCGACTATGATTCGACGTGAAAGGTACTCATCACTGGGTTTGGTTTTGGGGAGACACAAATGGGTGTCTACAGTCACCATGGTGTGACATAGTAGGTGCCAATTGGGGTAGCTCCCTGATTGGAAGCTCTATTTTAATGGGCTATATTTTAAAGGAAGGAAACTCGTTCAATGCGTAATCCAAAACTATTAATTAAATTATTAATATTGCTATTTAAGAGTCAAAGGTAAGTTGACTATGATTGTATGGCAAGCATGTTTTATTTTTATTCTTATTGATAGGTTATTCATATTAGTGTGGTTGTAGGGAATACTTCAAGCTTTAAACCCCTAGCTTAAACCCCACTGTGATCATACACTAAAGTACGGTGGCGTCCAAAAGGGAAGAAGATAGAGCAAAAGAGTCGCCAACAAGTTTTAGGAACTTGTAAACCGTTCACGAGGTGAAGGTTACACCCCTTAATGATCCAAGAGATCGTCAACTCCATAAGGTCTAGAACCAAATAAGGATTCGACATGGATTTTTTTTTTATTAATGCAATATAATGAAATGATCATATATAAGGAAATAAATGCTCATTTTATTAAAAGAAAATATATAATGATTCTACAGAATAAATCTAAGGAGAATAAAAAGGTGCCTATTCTAGACTTATTAGGGAAAGGGTAAATAAAAAAGAAATAGAAAAAAGAGGTCGCGAAATCTTGTCGTTGAAACTCGCCTCTTGTCTTGTGTTGTTTCCTTTATCATCACTCGCTCTTCTTGTTAATGGAGGCATGG